TATCTGTGTGTGTGTGTGTGAGGGGTCTGCGTATCTGTGTGTGTGTGTGAGGGGTCTGCGTATCTGTGTGTGTGTGTGTGAGGGGTCTGCGTATCTGTGTGTGTGTCACGAACAGCTGATCTGCCAAACATGCCTCTAATCAGCAGTGTTTATATCTTAAATGCTCCCCCAGCAGCACTGGCGTCACGATGAAAGGTTGCTGTCACGTGAGCCCCCCCCCCTCCCCCCACTGCTGCTGACACACACTTTCTGTTGCACCAGGGCTGTGATTCACACTGGTACCTACTTTCATGTGCCCCCCCCCCCTCCATTTGTTTATTATTATTTTTTGCTGAACACGATGAACTGACAATAACTTCAATGGGGGGGGGATCATCTGCTTTAATAGGTCTTTTTCATTTGAGTCTCTCACTCTTTGTGTGGTTCTTACTGTAATCTCTCTCTGTTTCCTTCTGGTGTCTGTCTTTCCATGATTTGGTGTCAAGGTCGGGAGTGTGTCTTGAATTGTGCTGGAATGGTGAGGCGTGTGGTGTGTTTGTGTGTGTGTGTGTGTGTGTGTGTGTGTGTCTGGTCAGTAGCCCGGTGTGCTGCCCCTGTCAGTAGTGCTGTCTCAGCGGCTCGAATGCCGCTCCGTATCGGGCTAACAGCCCCCCCTCCCCCCCACCACCCAGATTGGCAGCACCTCTCAAAGCCTGGCTGCTGTAGCAGTAGGGGATGGGACTCCAAACAAGATGGGGACCTCCTGGATTCACGGGGGGGCCTGCTGAACATCACTCCTGCACTCCTCCCCTTTCTGAACGCGAAACGACAGCTCCTTCCAATGGGGGTGACTGTCTGCGGTCCGTGTCATTAACATGTGTCGCGTGGCTTGGGATCTATTTACAAACGACTTTTTTCACAGATACATGGACTGACTGTATAAATGTATCCGCTCTCAGTCCCATCAGTGCCTTGACCTCGCACGCTGAGAATCAAACGCATTGTGCCATGAACAGCACCAGTTCCCCGCCCCACCAAGCTGCCCATGGTGGTGCATGAGGTTGCTTTGGGAAGACTGGTCCAAAAACACGTGAATGTGGAATGGCTTCCTCTCCCGTGTCTCCCCCTGGCTCGTACCCAGGTCTTCTTAGTATATGCTACAGACTCTGGGTCAGTGATGAACATAAACATAATTTCGCTGTGCTTATTGTCTCTTCTGTATATAGAGTCAGCAGATAAATTAAACAGTGTTTGTATAAAATGTAAGCAGTCATTTGGTTGCCTTGCTGTCTTGTGATTGGCCAGCAGCACCCCCGCCCCCCCCCCACCCCCCTTCCA